TCCATCTCCTCCTCCTCCATCTCCTCCTCCTCCATCTCCTCTTCCATCTCCTCCTCCTCCTCCTCCTCCTCCTCCTCCTTATGGGACACTGAGGGATGGTCCCGGGTGTCACTGTTTGTAGTAACCAGGGACAGGGACCAGTGTCTTGAAACGCCTTCTCTGGGGGGGGGGAGCACCGAGGGTCTGGTCAGGTGTCTGCACAATGACCTTGACATGAAGCAGGTCCTGAGAAAAGTGACTCGGTAGCCTTTGATCTTCGCAAGTGTAGACGAGAACCCCGGGACGGCCCCGGCGAACCTGGACTGCTGGGTTCACGACGTGGACTTCATGAGCTGCCAGTGGGCAGTGGGCAGGGCGGCCCCCGGCGACGTCCAGTACCGCCTCTACTGGAAGGACGCCCGGTGGGTGCGGAGCCCCGGGGCGGGGGCTGGAGGCCGGGCCTCGGGGAGCGCACTCTCGTTTGCTGACTGCCTGTTCTTGTTGCAGCGAGTACCGAGAGTGTGGGCACTACCAGACCGACAGCCGGGGCAGGCACGTGGGGTGTCGCTTCAGCGGCATCTCCAAGTACCCCCGGAGCTTTGTGGTCATGGTGAACGGGACCAGCGCGCTGTCCGCCATCGCCTGCAGGGACAGCTTTGCAGATTTATATGAAATTGGTCAGTAAGGACGGGGACGGTGCCTCCCCTCACACCCTCGGCTCCGGGCCGCCGTGTTCACTTGGGGTGCAGGGGCTCGTCCCTCAGGTGGGGGACAGTCAGCAGACCCGGAAAGCTCTCAGCTCTGGGCTGCCGCCCAGGTCCAGGCAGGGCTGACCGGGGTCAGCTGAGGCTGCTCCTGCTCCCAGAGGCGCCTTCTCCTGAGTCCTCCATGGGGAGGGCAGGGGCTCTGGGTCCTGTTCCCTTTAATAGATTCATGTTATTTTCTATTCTCACAAAACGGCCTCAGCTGGCCTTAGAGCTGCAAGTGACCAGACCCTGGGTGACGTGGAGTGAGTCATTGTCCCACCCAGAGAGCAGCTGAGAGCAGGTCCCCGAGGGACCTGGGGAGGACCCGGGGCTTGGCGGGATACAGCGACGAGGGCTGGCGCCTCAACTGACATGCGGCTGCAGAGGGGACCGAGGGACGGAGGGACAGAGGGACGGGCACTCGGTGTTTCCTGAGGCCATAAAAGGGGACTGTGACTGGACCCGGGGGACCTGGTGGGAGCGGAGGCCATAAAAGGGGACTGTGACTGGACCCGGGGGACCTGGTGGGAGCGTCTCGCTGTGGGTGGAGAAAGTGGGGACAAGAGGAGGGGGAGGGGGAGAGCAGAGGGAGGGGACGTCAGGGACCCAGAGCCTGGACTTCCCCCCCCCCCCCGGCAGACAGCGGGAGCCCCAGGGCTGCGCCCAGGGCAGCTCAGAGGGACGTGGGGACCCTGGGCGTCTCAGAGGGGACAGACCTCCCCAGGGACTTAGCCCTGTGGGCAGAGCCAAGGACCAGCCCAGGGAAGAGTCTCCCGAAGGACGGACTGCAGAGGGACTGGACAGACAGGCCGCCGTGGTGCAGAGCAGGGACAGAGGGGGCAATGGCTGGAGCAGCTCAGCACACAGCGCCCTTCCCCTCCAGCTGGAGAAGTGGGCAACGGGGCTGTGGGAGGAGACAGAGAAGGGACAGAGGCTCCTCCTCCTCCTCCATCTCCTCCTCC